ACCAAAAAAATGATCAATTTGGAGGCTAAAAAAAGGCGTAATTTTTACGTAATTTTTGCGCAAATCTGAACGTAATTGAACGTAATTGAACGTAATTTGAACGTAATTTGAACGTAATCTGAACGGTCTGAACGGGTTGGAACTGTTTTATACGTAAAAATTATGGGTATTAATCTATTCGAACGGTTTCCCACACTCTGCGAATTTTGGCTCTGTTGGGTCAACTCTGGTAGTCTTGAGCTGCAAAGTTCTAATCCAGGCCATTCCTCACAGGACAGAGTGGGCCACCTCAAGATCCTCTAGTGGAAAACGCCCAGCTAGGTTAAATACCCATGGCCATATATGAAATCATAGAGTGAAAATATATACATCAAAAGAGTGGTTTTAAAATTATAGTCCATTCAAGCCCATGCAGCTCTGTTCTCATGAGGGAAACCATCTGCAAGTTGAACTTGCAGCTTTTGCATTAATTGTTCACCTTGGTTTCCATAGCATGTAAAATTTCAAAGCTACGTGGGAACACATTCTTCCACTTCTGTGGTGGGTTGAGGCTGCGAGAACCCCCCAGGTATCTCACTGTTTCCATGAGACTGGCTTCTGGCCAATCACTCCAAGGGTATCTACTGAACGCCAGCGCCCCATCAGCCGGCTGCACCCGAGGCTTGCCTTCTCCGTTCCCGACCAGCTTGGGGAAAAGGCGTCGTATTTGTTCTGCAAATGCACGTGGGTAGACCCTGGGTGGCAGGATGGTGAAAGTGGTGCAGCGACTGCTGGACATATTTTTATTTACATCTGCATGGAACCAATTTGCTGTGAAACAAATAAGGCAATGACTGAGTGGATTTCAACTCTTTTGTGCCGACATACGCTGGCTTTCCACTCTTGTTCAAGTACCGTCTCACCGTTTCAACAGTTTTCTTTCCCTGAAGAGTTCGGGAGTAAACACCAAGGTCAACCTTTGCACACCAAGCATTGTTGGTGTATCCCCTGTGGCGCTTGGGTGAACGTCCACCGTAATGGCCCATCCACCATCCGAAAGTAAATACCTCAATGACATGAATGCTTCAATCTCAGTGTTGGGATCCAACCAAATGCATGCATGCGCATATAAGACCCCGATGAATTGACAAGGTTGGGGCTGGGGTCAAGTTTTCATGCTTCTATTGCGATATATGAAAATATGCTTCTTAATGTGCTATATATATATATATTTAAATATAGTTTTATGATTATATATCTACACCCAAGAGCTTCTCACTTCCAGTGAGACACCACGCCCAGATGCTTTTGTCTGCTGGGCCAGGAATTCAAACCTGAAGTAGTGGCGTATCAAACTGGAGGCGGGCTGCTCCAGGAAGAATGTCCCTCCTCTGGCCAGTATGAGTAAGTAGAGAAGGCATGTCCTCAGCCAGCAATCAGGAGAACGGGCATTGAAGGTAAGCAGAAAGACACACATACACATATATAAAGAGATATATAATATATATATATATAGATAGATTATTAGACATAGAAGGACTAAGGATATATAAGCATGTATCTGACAGATGTATAGATATAGAGGTAGGTTTGTTGACAAACTGATGGATTTGGATATAATTATATATATATATAAATCAACAATAATACCAATAGGCAGGCATAGGTATATCAAAGGATTTATACCAGGTGCAAATGCAGCTGAAATGCATTTATACAGAGATAGTGGCATATATATATATATAGGTAACTATAGATACGACGAGGAAATGCATATCAGAAACAGAAACCTTTCAACACATTTATTCTTGGCTTCACACTATCCACAAATCTTTGAAATATATATGTTCATCCAAATAGCAAATCCATCACAAATTACTCTCAATGAATCCTGTCCCCTGCCAGGCCTATCAACATGCTTGCCTACGATGGGTGGCTTACGAATGCTACTTCCGAAGGCTGGCCAGAGTTTGGGGGCTCCATTTCTACAGGAATGGAAAAAAAACCAATTATATATATAATAATGGTTTGCACCAATCAATGGAGGATCGGTTACAGTACATGCATGGATAAATGGGACAATGCCTCAAAATGAGGCACCCTTGTTTCTTCATTGTTTCGAAACCTTTTTTGGGTCCAAAAGGTTGCATCATTTTGAAACGCCTATATCGTCTGATGGAGGGATGGGGTGATATGGATACATGGATATAGATGGATAAATGGATAGATTGGGAAATAGGATTCATACAAGAAATGTATAGAAGTAGTATAGATTCCCTACCTTTTTATCCCTTTGGATTTTTCATGACAGAACACATGCAACATTGATTTGAGAATTTTATGTTGGGTCTGTTGTTTGCAATCTACAGTTTCATCAGCATGCAGCTAAATGTCCGACTTACCATCTTGTTGCTGGCCTCAATGTAGGCCAGAGACTGCTGGCCTTCCGGCAACAGCCACGACCGCTTACTGGTACCAGAATTTATATGCACCCAGCTGGAACAGCAGGTCCCAAATAAACAAAAGAAGTGATCTTCTCGACAATTCAGCACCAGCCAAATAGCTAACCTTGGATTGACCAGCATTTGAACATTGTGGACGGACTCCCCATATCATGCTTTTGCATTCTAAAAAAAATATCCAGTATTAGACTGTTTCGATTCAAATCCATTTCTGTGTATATACATGCTCATCACATGTATATAGATATACATTGATATACAGGTGTTATATATATATATATAGTTGAAAAGGCCATCCAATCAGACCCTTTATGCAAAGGAAGAAACGCCAAGCCAGAAGGGGAATTCACATCCATGGCATGGCCCCTTCCCTCCATGTATTCAAGATCCACTGCACAAGATGGATGGTGATCACCACGGATACAACGAAACACTTCTCCCTCACCAGCAAAGAACTCCAAATAGGTGAGGTCCTGCAGTCCGTCGAGAACTTGCGTGGGGCAACTAAGAGACTTGCAGGGGCAAGGGCATTCCATCATATATATATATATGTTTATAAACCACATGGTGATCAAAGGGTCTTGTTTATATATATATATATACGCATGGAATCATGGAACTTCAGTTATGCGAATGAAGGGATATGTTTGTAAATTGGAATCTCTATACATGTGTGTGTAATGACCAGTGGTGTTCAAGTTTTCTGTGTGCAAGCAGGGATTGAATTTGTGATGGCAAACAGGTTCATGGCCACTCCAACTTTCAACAAAATGCACATGTGACCCACGAGACCCACCCCCCAAAAGTCCTGGGAAAAGTATGGAAGCCCACAATATGCAGTCATGATAACTGCCCATACAAATGCCTTGGCCAGTGGAGCAGGATTTTGGGTACATGTCCAACACTTGTTTCCAGCTTGTTCTGCAATGGTTCTAAATGTGCCACGGTGACGCAACTACACAGTTCAAATTTCAAGAAAGGAATGGCCAACCTATATATACACATGAATTTGGTAACACCCACTGGTTGTAAATATAAGATGTGAACCATGTTTGATTCCAGCATATATGATTGTCAAAATAAAATGGAAAACACATCGCTTGTTTGCAGACCATGTTACTTTGGGAACATCCAATGCAAGAAGTCGTAGTACCAAAGCATCCATGTCAGGAACCCAGCCCGTCATGGCAAGAGCCCTCTGTGGAAACTGCCCCCTAAAGCTTGATCCCCTCTGAAACGCTTCCAAAAGTGCAGGCTGGTTCTAAATTCAGAGAGATTGGTAAAGCACAACGCTTTTTTGTTTTACATCCAATGGCATGCACAATCCATGCCAGTAATAACCATGGCAAATCATAGTGAATTTGATTGTCCCTTTAATCGTGATAAATTCCATTCACACATATATGTTACAGATATGTTACAGTGGATGTTCAATGCATTTGGCCCATCCCACAAATCATGCCAGACCCACGATCTTTGATTGCCCGTTTGACACCCCTTCGGGTAGCCCATGTCCGTAGGGATCTTCTCACCATCCATGATGAGGTTTTCACCAAACCTGGCAAGATCGTGAGTGACCCCGGTAACTTGGATCTAACGGAATGGGAAAACAGGCATCCAGTATTTGAAAACCATACATGTATATAAATATAAATATAAATAAATAAATGAATAAATAAATAAATAACATATATATATATAAAATAGACTATATGTAACTTAACGCTCTATATATTTTAGATAGGTGAGTGAATTAGATTGTATCAGCAGTGATTTGACAAACAGCAATGATGTTGTTTATGGTGATTGAAGCAAAGATCCAACTGAGAATTTATGCCAAATGGAAACACAAATCAATACACTTTGGGGGATGTATTTTGCATAAGCAGGGCCTTCTATATATAAATATATATTCTCACCAGCCATCCCTGGGTTGCACAGCAATGAATGGTTCCACTTTTTTTGACCTTGGCCACTCTACTGCCAGCTGGCCACAAATCGTCGACCATATCAACATCGAAGGGGACTATACATGGCTGAAGAACTGTGGCTAATCTACTGGGCATGGCCTGTCACAATTGCTGGGATAAAGATAGGGAGCTAAAGTTCGAGATTTTAAGCCATGTGTGGATAATGTGCCACACGGTTGGCCCTGAACATGCATGATTTTCCGATTTGTGCAGGGTGCCTTTCCACACACAAAAAAAACTCAAAAAACATTCTATAATATATCCCTGCATTGAATGCAAGTCAATGGATCATTTTTCAATGCAGTATAATGGGTCACATGCTGATTGAAGATCTATCACCCACTAGTGTGGAACCCTGCAGTTGGTTCTAGCAGGCAAACACTTTAAGATTCATGACGTGGGGAATGTACCACCATGCAATGGAATCAAAAGACTTCATGTTGTTTTGCTTGTATGCAATATATATATTATGATGATGTATTGCAATCAAAACGGCAGTTGCAAAATTGTGTGGTGTCCCACATCAAAGGTCTTTGGCAATGCTTGCATGACCTTTGGTCATGCAGGGGTGATAGCATGGTGAATTTCTTTAGCTTTCACCAATAGGACCCATCAAACTCACAGCATGATCGTGCGACGTCTTCAGCAACAGGTGGAACTCCTTCATCTCGGCATTCTTTGGGTCCAAAGGCTTCTGCCGCGACAAGGCTTGGACCTGGGAGCCGGCGCAGCTGGCAGAGGAACATTAGAAAAGATCCCATGGGAAAATGACCAGACTGGTGGAAGACGGCATCCCATATAGGCATGCTTCATGCATGATCATCATCATCACCATCACCATCACCAGCATCATCATCATCATCATCATCATCATCATCCTCACCATTATATATATATGTATGTGTATATATATGTATGTTCAAATATGTATGTGTATATATATATAACATGCATGCTTTGTGCATACTTGTTTTTGATATATGTGTTTGGTGTAAATATATATATATATATATTATAGATGTGTACATGTGTGTTGTTTGAAGTAAAAACACCAATTCACAAAAATCCATTGGCCCCCTCCAAAAAAGACATGCACGTATATGCATGCAAGTGGCAAACTCATGTGCCACAGCTAGGTTGCGGTAGATGCAAGGGGTCGGGGATCCAAAGTAAGCCACTTGGGAAAATTTGCCTTTGCCTTTGCACTTGCCCTTGCAGCTTTTTCCCAATAGGAATGACTTTGCCACTTTGACACCTACAGCATGCCTGGTCCAGTAGACACTGATTGAGAACATCTTCGGGTCAAATTTTGGGGCACTCCATGTTGGGTGTATGCACTCACTGTCCTTGCATTGGGACAAGATCCCGTTAGCAAGGGCGACGATCTTGGGGCATGGCTTGCAGGGTTTGGACTTGCTCGGCTTGCTTTTCTTTGCAGGTTGGCCCTTCACAGGGGACTTTGCCTTTCCCTTTCGAGACCTGCATTTCTTGGTGCTCTTGGGTGCAACAGTGGATGCCCCCGATGCCGCAGATTTCTGGGAAACCACATGCTTTGTGTTGATCTTGCGCTTCCTGCTGCCACAGGTTGCAAAATCTGCTGGAGATAACACCTTGGCCTTGGACTTCATGCGACGCAACTTCACAAGCTTGGCATGCTTCACATGCTTTCGTGTCGGGCTTGCATGCTGTGCTTCATGCTTTGCTTCGGCCTCACTGCAGCCCACATCCTTGCCACAGTCCCCATGCTCCTCGACATTCTCCTTTTCCTTTACCACAGGCTCGTGGCCTTGTTCCTCAGGCTTGCTATTTCCTGACTCATCCTGGACATTGTCCATCACATCCTCCTCATGTGGTCGTTTCTTTCCCCTTGACTTCTTCTCCTTCTTAGGCTCCTGTTCATCCTGTTTTTTTTTTCCGACCCTCTTTTTCTTTTGGCTGTCTTTCATGGCTTTCTCTTGTTTCTTCTGTTCACGAGCTTTCTTTTTTTCCTCCTTCGCCTTTTCCTTTTCCACTTTCTGAAGTGCCTTTTGTTCCTTCTTTTTCTGTCTCTGTTCCTTCTTATTTTTCTTCATTCTAAACTGCATTCTGCGTGTGATGACCTCCTGATCGCCTTGCTGCCCCAGCTCACAATCCTCAGGCTTGTTTGCATGCTCCGCCTGCAGGGTAGTGTAGAGTTGAGACAACCATTGGATCGTTGACTTGAACAAATATTGGTTGGTCCTTTTCAACTGGCATGTGTGCAGTAAAAAAGAACATGTCATTTCGCAATTTAAGTTTACACATAACATGTATGCACATGTATGTATGTGTGTGTGTGTGTGGGGTTAGGGATCTTATATATGATAATATATAGGTGTATCAGTCACCAAAGTTCTGACATCCCCAGATAGGCCTTATATTTATATATATATATATTAACCTTCAGGAAATTGAACGACTTATATATTGTATGGGTCCATATTTGATTCATATACCCGACCTTGTCATCTTGTTCTGCGGCTGCCTCCATAGCATTTTCATGAACATGAACCTCTAGCACAGTCTTTGCAGCAACATCAGTAGCCATCATGGACCCAGGGCTGCACGGCAAAAGGGTTTGGTCGTAATCATGCCCAAAGGGCAATGAATCCACCACAAGCATCGCAGATCCTGGCAAACCCCCAGGGCCAGTAAACACTATTTTGGTTACATGGTTGACATTATAATTCAAGTTCCCTGGCTCTATTCAGATATATCCATAGTGCCATAATAGTGCCAGCAAAACATGCCCATTCCACCTTCTGCACCTTCAGGCTGAGAAAGTGGCATCTCAACTGAAGGACTGCTGGTGGGAGGCGGCTCGGTCAACTCATTCTGGGGAGGCTGGGGAGATGTAGCTGGCGAAGAAGGTGGTGCTCCAGGTGATGTCAAATGGGCATCATCCAGAGAACAAGTCTTGTTCATCTCTTTCCTAGGCTTGTGCATGCATGGTTAAAGGAACGACTTCATATGTATATAGATACTATCACTCATAAATATAATATAAATAAATATAGATAGTTGTTTCAAGGACATTCATATGTTGGTGCAACAGACTTCCTGGGTATAACGTCGAGCCAATACAGATAAATACATATATGTTTTGCCTACTTGCGGGGACATATGCCTAGTATCAGCTGAAGATTTTGCAATGCCTCAAGCGCTTCTGTCAACCTTTGATGGGATAGTACATCAGCTGCAGAAGTGTCACCTTCTTCATCTGAAGAAATGCAGCAGACGTTGTCATCCATGTCCTGGTGGTCATGATGATGTTTTGGGATAGCTGGATTTTACATATATGTATTAAAATTAAAAAGGTATACCTCTTTGACAAGTGTACTAGCTGGCTGACCATGCTTTTTTGAATACATGGATCGGGGAAATTCCAACACTAATTGATGAGGCATGTGAATGTGGATGTATACACCCTGGGCTCCTTGTTCCACAGTGAAGTTGGACAAGCACTTTGTGATTGATCGGGCAATGTCACAGGATCCGAAAAAATTGAATCATCCATACTCTTCGAGGTGTTGGCACCTTTCTGTGTCACCTTTGCAAAGACTTCTTCCATATCCCGTTCCAGAGTCTGGTCGAACTCTAGCACTTGGGAATGGGGTGGCATGCCCAGGAGCTGAGATTCCTCAACTGCTGGCCTAGAAGCAGGGGGCTCAACCGAAGGGGCTGGGAGTGGCGGTGCCTCGCTTGGTGGAGGTGCTCCCAAAGATTCACTGGATTGGCCCACCGGTGGTTGCTTCTTAATGGGCTGCCAGTCCTGCATGGCGCAAGCAAGTAAATCATGAATGATTCAAGGTTGGCCTGCTGGCTGAAAGTGGTGGGGGCAGATCAAAACATGCATGGGATTTATATATATATATATAATTTATATATATAGGGTAATTAAGTATTTAGATAGATAGTTGTGTCAGAATAAAAATATATAATTATGTAAATCAATAAATATAAATATAGCATGGATGGGTCGACAGATATGTAGACAGATAGGTGAACGGATAGATGATAAATAGATCGTCCAATCGTCCATTCACATGGCACAGACCAGGAATAAGTGTTTCCAATAGATCTGTCCAACTTATCAACTTCCCTAAATGCAAGCATTTCAATGTTGACCATGTATATATATAGTTCTAACCCGATTACAAGTGGAGAAAGAAATTGCATGTTCATTCAAAAATCATGCGGCTGTACAGGACCACACGGATAACATGCCCATACTGTTGTCCTCCAAGTTGAAACCAAAGTGCTGCATGAGGACTCGAATCTCTGGATCCTGAGCTTGCTCACGGATACAGGACAGAGGGAAAGGGTCAAACTGGCAGAAAGGGTTGATCTCATATAAACTTTATAGGGTGCATTTCAGGGTATAAATTGAACACATTATCACCATTAAGTCATTAAGGCTTGCCAGCATTTTCCCCATGTAGTCTACACACATAGAAATTCAACATAATGTACTGTACCAATAAAAATGTTATACTCAGATATTCAGCTTGGGCTCCTCAGGTGGGGTGGGTTTGTAGCAGAAACTCTTCCCGGTCCCCAAAAGTCTACGGAATGCCCATGCCATTTGATAGCAATGTTCCAGAGATCTGGGGAGTTTGCTAATCTGGTACAAGCGATCGATGACCTGGATAAGCCTGTCAATATTCGGCATTAACAAGCTGTTCTTGGCCATAACATCTGCAAGGGGAATAAGAGCATGGAGGTTGGCCTTGACATTGGCAACACTTCCCTCCACATGTTGTTCCACAAGATCACCCGATGCTGGGTCCACATGAAGGAGCAAGGGTTTCTTCTCACGGATCCGATCACGAGTACACTCTTCATTGTCCCAACTCTTTGCTAATGACCCCATCTCATACTTGCCAACCCGCTCAATTCTAGTTGGAGTAGATGGTGTACTTGTTCCCGAAGCAGACCCCGAAGAAGAAGCCCCTGAAGAACAGGATGGTTTCGCCTTGGATTTTGCCGCTGATCGTCTTTTCCCCATGTCACCACCAAGACAAAAGTCAGTGGATTTTGTCCGAAGCACAGTCACACCACCAACAGCCCAAATGGCTGCTGCGAAGGACCGGGCAATTATGAGATTCTGATGGATGGCTGAGCAGCATGAAGGGTCATATATGAAATCATTCGAAACTGTGGCATTATGTGAACAATGTGCTTGTTGACTGGTGCGAACATGTTTTTTTTATAAAGATTTGTCAGCCACAAGATTTCATGCATGAAGCTTGCAGTTCAACCCCTTGCAGTCTGCAGTGGCCGCCAAACAGGGCAGTTGTGCCAGAGTCTGAAAGTTGACAATCATCCAGCAATCCATGGAAGAGCTGACAAGCCGAGTGTCCCTGTTTAGGTTTGGCAAGTTGTTTCTCAATTGCCTGTGGGGCAAGTACAGATTTCCAAACCGTGCATTTGCAGCATATTCCTATATAGTGGATCCCATTATATTGACTTGGCAACCAGGGTCTGGCCCCTGCATGGAGGTTTATAGGTGGTTTTCATTGTGACATCGGGATATTATATATATAGATATATATATATATATATATATACTCTTGAAATGTTGAGCCTGCACTTGCATGTGCTGTTTGCATGGGCTGGATCTTGAACCACGATGCGACCTTGGCGGGAAATGCCTGAGTCACCGGTGTGGATGGAGGTGGGCAGTGTAAGGTTCTTGGTGGTCACGATCTATATATATATATATATATATAGAATCTATATAGATCTATGATCGGGGAATACCGGATGGTCAGGTATTTTTTTTGTTCAATTGATTGCAATGGTAGCTGGTAGCCACAAAGGCCAAATAGTATAACACCAAAAGAACCCTGATTGTTCCATGAATTACTATATATATTCTATATACTAAAGTCATTATAGAATTAGTTGGTGCTCTATGTTCAAATCATCTCAAATCACCATAATTATAGGTGCTGTTTTATGATGAAATCACCATAATTAGGTGCTGTTTTACGATGAAATCACCATAATTAGGTGCTGTTTTATGATGAAATCACCATAATTAGGTGCTGTTTTATGATGAAATTACCATAATTAGGTGCTGTTTTATGATGAAATTACCATAATTAGGTGCTGTTTTATGATGAAATTACCATAATTAGGTGCTGTTTTATGATGAAATTACCATAATTAACATGAGTATGATGTCCCAAAGAGAGCTAATTCATATCTAGAATACTAATTAGCATTATGCAGGGCAGCAGGCAATATTTGGGTAGACTTGGGGACCTGAAACATTGCTTTCCACAATAACTTGAAGAAAACTGAGGCTTTGCGGAAAAAAAAAATTCAAGCTCCGAAAAATTGTTTTTTCGCACATTTCTGGACTGCTTCCAATCCACGCAAAATCAATATTTGGGTGGACTTGGGGACCTGAAACATTGCTTTCCACAATAACTTGAAGAAAACTGAAGCTTTGCGGAAAAACAATTTTTCAAGCTCCGAAAAACTGTTTTTTTCCGCACATTTCTGGACTGCTTCCAATCCACGCGTCTAAGAAAGGGCAGACTACAGGAAACCAAGAAAACAACATGCTGATAGACCCTGTTAGTTAGATGCCCAAAAAGTCGCCTATCGAGATTCGAAGCTCCAACTTTCAAGGCTGAGATCCGACACGCTAACCATTACGCTACAGGAGCCTTGCCTTCAAGGAATTTTTCTTTCTGATGCTCACTCTTTGCTTTGGCTGCAAAGGGTTGGGTTTAGCATGGGTTGCACTGCTCTTATGACACTCAGAGAAGCCCAGCTTTGCAAAAAAACGATTTTTCGGGCTCTATTTTTTTTCCCGCACTATTCTTTGAAACTAAAAGAAGCTCGGCTTTGCAAAAAAAACATTTCAGGCTCTAAAAAAATGTTTTTTTTCCACACTGCTCTTGTGAAACTTAGAGAAGCTCTGCTTTGCAAAAAAAAATCAGACTCGATTTCTTTTTGCACACTAACCTTATGAAATTCAGACAAGCCTGGCTTAGGCTTTGCAAAAAAAACAACTTTTCAGGCTCTAAAAACATGTTTTTCCACACTGCTCTTATGAAACTCAGAGAAGCTCGGCTTTGTAAAAAAAAACAGACTCTATTTTTTTTGCACACTAACCTTATGAAACTCAGACAAGCCCGGCTTCGCGAAAAGCAATTTTTCAGGCTCTAAACAATCATTTTTTCGCATGCCTCTTGTCAAATCTGCCAAGTCCACTTCGTTACCTCGTTTTTAAGCTCGCTCCAAACTGTGCAGATGCATGCAATACCTAAGAATGGCCTAAGAATTTGAGGCACCCTCGGCCTGTTTTGGTGTAAATTTGCCTGCATTTAAAAATAAGAATTTGAGGGACCCTGGACCTCAAGCTTTCGGATTCGTAACCAGCGCTCGGGCTGTAACTTGACGGGAACATTTTAAACCTTTTGAAACCCTACCTGGAATTTAGACCTATAGTTACCTCAGAATATGACATGGATCAATACACGAATTTTTAAGTGCTCCCGAACGATCCGTCAAATGAAACCAATGAAACCGATTTGGATTGTTCATGGGCACCCACTGTGACATGCGAAAAAAAAACTGCATGGGATCATCTCAAATAGGATGCAT